CGCGAATTATGAATGCGGGATCCAGCTCGAACCTGTTTAGTGAGGATCGTTGTTTTGGTGGGAGGCCGCAGACAGGTAGAATTAGTCGCGCTGCCGCGTTATTTATAACTACTTAGCGTCAACTTTATTTACTTGAACCAAGAAAGTAACTGTTAACTTTTATTTGCTGTGGCATCAAGATTGTGTTTTCCCCATTCATTCCCCTCCGGCGCACCTTGTGAAAGGAGAGGTGCTCGGTCGCTAGTCCCTGTCAAATCAGTGCTTACAATTAGCGCGGACTACTCTTCTCTGCGAAACTTGATTTACATGCTGTTATGCCTGTCCATAAATAAATAGGTAAATAATAAACAGTTTCTCTGGTTGTCTGCTCTGTGGGCCTGAACCTCACTGAGGGAATGAAAAACGGAAGCGCGTCTGGGAGCCTTCAACTACGTCAGCACTTCCTTTTTTTGGGAAAGGGCATTTGAGAAATGTGCAGTGTTTCAGATTCTGGATCGTCTACTGAAATACCTCAAGGAGCGCAACCATCGTTGTTTGATTTTTAGTCAATTTGTCATATTTTTAGATATCATCCAGGATTTTATGACTTTACGAGGTGAGGTTTTTTTATGCTAAATGAATGATATTGCCTTTATAGCTGCGTTCACACAACGTGACTAGAGCGATTCAATTGCGCGATTTGAGAAGAATTAAGGGGCTATGACCGATCACGCTCTACCGCCAATTGATGGACCTCTGCACCTGCCAGCTTGACCAAGATAGAACTTTCTTCGACCGTTTCGACAGACAAAGATGCGCGATGAAGCACTGTCGCCCGCAATCGCCTGCATGAATCGCTCAAGTCGCGGAGTATGAACACGGCCTGATATTTCTTTTTTAGGTTACAATTATGAACGCATTGATGGCAATGTCCGTGCAGAAGAGCGCTATGCAGCAATAAATGAATTTCAAAATGCGGCCAAAAGAAGTAGAACTAGGAAGAGGGGCCAAGATGATGGTACACTGTTCACACTCCTTAAGCATTACTCTTTTCTATGGTGGTTTTTCAATCAGTCAAGCTTTTCAGGCCCATGGTGTTTCTTATTGACGACGAAAAGTGGCGGAGTTGGTTTGAACCTTACGGGCGCAGACACTGTGATATTTCTGGATGCAGATTGGAATCCTCAGAATGACATGCAGGCAATGGCTCGGAGTCATCGGATTGGACAGGACAAGTACGTCTGTCAACTTTGTAATGATTACTGGGTGCAGTTCGTCTTGGAGAGGCAGTTTGCTGGTCCCAGGAGCTTCGCTCACACTTGACAGGAGTCTACAGGTCTTATCAAGTTGTGAAGTGTTATTCAACAGGAACTAGCAAAATGCCCCACCCAAGTCGACCAGCGCTGGTTACTGTGTTCTTTCTCCCCAGGCGAACCTTTTGAGGTTGTAATACTGTAGGGGGGCAGGGGGAAGGCAAGGAGAAGGTTACACCAATATGATGTATCTATTTTCAGGCCAGTTCGTGTGATACGTCTAATTGGTCGGTATACCGTCGAACAGCACATGAACGCTCATATCCGAGATAAGCTCAAGTTCACTGACAGAGTCATGGGTAACGAAGGTGGGTATAGTTATCGCTGGTGGTTTGTCAAAGAGGAATTACTTATTTTAAAGAGTCATGTACTTTTTTAGAGGTGAAAACGAGCGCCTTCGATATGTTGGCTATGATTAAGCACAGTTTGGGTACACTGAGGGAGCAGAAGAATAAAAGTTACGAACTGGTAAGAAAACTTTTTGCATTTTTTTTTGCGAAAGGAGAACTCTGCAAGGTGGGGTTGGGACTTCACGATAGCGCGTGGTCGCGTTGTAACGCGCAACGACATATAGCCGCCTGAATTTGGCGCGGGGCCAGCCATTTTCCATCAGCTTTGAGGCGCGACAAGCGACAACAAACGGTGGAAAACTGGCTAGACCCCTGAAAAGGTTAGACCGTGTGACGCAGCATGGATTGGATCACAGTAAGTCCTTTTCTCTACCAGTGGTGTCATCCTGAGCATGCTAGAATTGGTGGGGGAAAACTACCATGGCTGCCTTCCTAGCCGCCCCCTCTCACGCTCTATCGTTTGCTGGGATCATGACGATGATGGTGTAACTTGTGTGGTGGGTTTTTTGCGCCTACGCTATCCTGTGAGGAGGGGGTTCTCCACTTCATTCTTCTGAGGTTTCTTATCGTGCTTGTAAATGTCAGAAGACGAATGCTTCTTTTAAAAATACGTAAATGTGCCTTGCAGTCAGACAAAGATCTGGAGAGTGTCATTGGGCAAACCAACGCGGCTGGTGAGTGGATGCCAATCAATGGAGGCAAAAAGAACAAGGTTTGGGGCATTCGGCCTCTCTGATTTTAATTTCCTTGAATGGCACATGAACTTGTTTCCAACTTTCTCCTATCGTATGATGATTTAGATACCGGCAGCGCTACAGCTGGATCCAGATGAGGTAGACAAGCGCGATACCGACTACAATGATTATCGAGTGTTCCAAGGTCGTCAGTTCCGTGTTTCGGCCAAGGATGAGGCCGCTTTTGAACAGCTTCGTCTACTGAAATTTAGCGAATAGTACTAGGCGCACCAAGCGGAATCGTGTTATGAGAGGTAACCCTGCAAGATGATGCGGTGTAACTACCAGTGACAGAATAGCTCTTATTCCAGAGCAGCGGTCGGATGATGAAGAGAACAACTATGAGGAAACGTCAGAGAAACAGAAGGTAAAGTTCTGTCGTAAAGACATTTTGTACGATCATCAGAGGGGTGGATCCTGTCCATGTGAAAGGTCTGTAGTTGTAAGAGTAGATCCTTGTCGTACTAGAAAATGCGTGGCTGCTGAGGATGAGGCCTGTAGTTCCTAGATAACGCTGCTGTCTCCGCCCACCATTGGATGCGCCAGACAAGCACATGATACGCGCTTTTCAGCTGCGCTTTCTCGATGAGATAGTGTCCCATGGATCGCAATGACTCTTGTGAGGCATTGTGAGGTATTATGTCGCTTCTAAAGAGGTCTCGGTGGCTTCGATCAAGCCTAACGAACATTATTTAGTGAAAGTGCGCTAAAGAGCAGCGTGAATTATGTGGCCGTACGGCGTCTCGAACGGCCAGCGGAGGCGAGGGAAATATGATGCATATTGAGGGAGGAGCGTCCTGTTGATGGTTGCCTCACTGCCCTCAAATTCGCACCGTAGTTCCCTCGCCTCTGCTTACTGCCCGATACGCCGTATGGCCATATAATACATGCTGCTCTTCTGCACTCTTTACCGGAACAATGTTCTTTGGGTCTGATCGAGGCTGCCGAGGCTCTTTAGAAGTGATGTAAGACCTCACACTGTCTCATAGGCCTCACTCCTATCCCTTGAGCACTATCTCAGTGAGAGAGCGCAGCTAACTAGAGCGTATCGTGTGGTCGTGTGGCGAATCGAATAGGAGGCGGAGATAACTGAGTTGCCTGAAATTACAAGCCTGGTGCTGCGCAGCCATGCATTTCCCAGTGGCTAGAGCGAAATATTTCCACGACTGCGGTCTTGTCCGCCGAGCAGGTGGACAGGATCCACTTCTCGGCGTTCGTAGAGTGTCTCATTAGGTTCGACTCAGCTATAATTCCCGGTACTTCCTGACAATCGCGATTTCAGAGAAGCAGAACGAGATCGAGCTGTCGCAGCTGAAAAACGCAAAAAAGCAGCAGAAGAGAAGAAGAGAAGCGACATGGATTGCGAATGGTGAGAACATGAAATCGCTTATTGCTAACAACCACACGAATGGCATTCGGAGCTTCTTCTTTGGTTCAAGGGCCAAGCGGCTCGTACCCGTTCAAGCAATCAATGTGACCCCCTCGTTTAACTCTCATCCTGATCAAGGACGTTCACTTAATCGAGACCCTCCCCGACCAGAAAGATTTGTTAACGGTAGCGATGGTATTGAAATAGTGTATGAATCCGGTCCCTCTTTTACATCAATGGACAGCCCTATTTCATCCCCAAGACTTTCGCAGTTTACCTCATCCGCCTCCTCTAGAAGCAGCAAAGAACCGGAGGTGATCATATTGGACT